TTTTTACATAGATCGATATAGAAGGGTCTCCTCTACTCGGGAAATTAAAATAAGACTTTCATATTGAGAAATCACTTTAGAAATTGTAAAATAGACAACTTTAAATTTAATCTAAACTTTTTTATTTCTAACAAATCGAGCGTGGAATTTTTCCTGACCTAATTACGACCGATGGCTCTACAAAAAATGTACCTAATATCTTTTATATATAAAAATATATGACACACAGTCAAGGACTTGAAAATAGATGTCCTCACACTCACGTACGTCAAATGCTTTCTCTACCTTGAAATTTCACTGAAACATGTCATTGTCTCTGAACTGGAACGACCAACGAATTTTGAATTCTACAGTAACCGGATGTCATTTTTGACAGATTTCTGAACTATTTTCGTTTGTAGATCTATCTACCTTCACTGTATGACACTGCACTAGTCGATTTTTCTTTTATTCGTTAAATTTATCCGGAAAATATGTTTATTATTATGTGTTTTTTGTCAGCTTTTCAAGATCGTGAAAGGTAACACCCATTCTTTTACTTACGGTCATTTCTTAATGAAAGCAAATAATTATTGTGTTATATGAAAGGAGACATCATCTATGTTATTTAACATTAAAAACTATTTTCAAGGTTTTGAAGTACATACTTTATTAAAATAGAGTCTCGAAAAAGAACAGAAATTTCACTATAATAAGCTCAAATATTATTTTAAGTATTCGCAAAATTTCCAAATATATGGAATAAAATTTGAAATCTGTCTCTATCAACTAAAAAGAAACCAACGTTGAAGTTTGATTAAGAAACTTTTAGTACGAGTTGTTCTTATTGAGAGAATTCCTGTTGAAATCAATTTTAGTCATAGAGACATCCGTCACCGATAATGCATAATATAACTGTGTTCTGACCATGTTATTACTCATATATTATTGATACATTTGTCAAGTTATTGCTTTGCACTGTGCTCCCAGTCTCAGGTTCATCTTTAGTGTTGCTAGTAAAATCAACTAACTTTGAAACCTGAATTTTAAAGAAGAAAAATGAACTAATACTCAAACTAATACTTAAATGCTCCTAATCATCCACGAAATATATTATTCTCAAAGTTCCATAATGCGGGCATCAAATTAGACTTCAGTACCTTCCTCTTGAGAGGTATTCGGAATAAACAGATATTTCTCTGTGTTTATGGCTGTATATGTGATTTTATCTCGGATACTAAACGTTTTTAAGTGCCTGCCTGGATTGCTGTTTTTGATACCGAAGCTGATGCATTTCTGTTTCATATCTGTACGCAAAGGGCCATCCGTCACCACACCTACTCTACTCTTCAACATCTTCTACAGTATTCTTTTCTTTAGTTATATTCCTCTATAACAACTGATGAACAATCTTTTTCTTTCTCTCTCCAATTCTCTTTTTTATTATTATTTTGTATGTCTGATATTATCTTCCCTCCTCATTCATTCTTTAAGACTCTTTTGCAAATTGATATAATGTAGACCATTGGATCACGATTTCGATTTGTATTAAGATTTTCTTCATTTTTTTATTCAAATAAAATTTTTACCAACTAATACTCATTTTTTGATATATGAAGATACATTATAGTTACTTTCTGCCACCTTTCTCCCTTTCCTTTCATCAACAGAGTAAAAAAAAAAAAATCATTCAACCGTTTCAATATTTACCATTTGTTTTAATTAGATCTTTTTCTTTTTTTATTTTACTTACATTAGTCGCTCATTTCTTTTTTTTTGTGTTTCTTCTTGTTTTTTTTTCTCATTATATATAGTTTGAAAAAATAAGACATCATGATGTATTGTACAATGTAATAAAATTCTATATTTTTCTTTACCAAGTAAACCATATTAATATTGTTGAAATTTTTAATAGCAAAAAGAATATACAAATTTACAATGTTCAGATGTGATCTTCGTTTAGACGAAGTAGATGAAAATTTAGAACATATAACAGTTATATGTTTAGATAAAAATATTAATGATAAAAGTGTTGCTTCAATACATATACAAGAATCATTAATTGAATTGAATAATTATGTTCTATTCTATACTGATGTTCAATTATGTATAGATTATATACGATCGATTAAAGATGAAAAAATATTATTAATTGTTTCTGGTTCATTTTCACGAAAAATTCTTCCCTGTATTCATTCTCTATCAACTATTCATTCTATATATTTATTTTGTGCTAATCGTCATTATCATACAAACCTTTTGGATGAATATACAAAAATTATTGAAATACATAATGATGAGAAACCTTTAGTTGAATCAATTAAAATAACACTTAGTTTAATGTCAAAACAATCATTAGCATTTAGTATATTTGATCAGCAACAACATGATTTATCTCAATATTCACCCGAATTTCTTTGGTATCAATTATTAATGGATATTTTAAAACAATTACCTGAAAATAAATATTCTAAAACAGAAATACTTGATACATGTAGTGATTATTATAGATTAAATGATTTAATGTTGGAAAAAATTGATCAATTCAAGAAAACATATACACCTGATAAAGCTATCGAATGGTATAGACCTGATTCATTTGTATATCAATTAGTTACCAAAGCTATAAGAACAAAAAATGTTGACATATTATATTTATTACGTTTTTATTTAGTTGATTTAGAAGCACAACTTTTACAAGAACACAAACACAAAAATGCAAGAACCATATTAAAATGTTTTTATGGTAGTTTGTTAAATGCACAAGAATTAATAAATATAAAAAATGCTGTTGGTCAATTGATATCTATAAATGAGTTTTTTTTTGCAACAAAAACCATAAACGGTGCATTAGACTCTATTCCAAATAATAAAAATCATTTAGAAAAATATGTATTAGAAATTAAATTATATCCTCGTTTAAAAACAGTTATTTTTGCATTTACTGACGATGAAATATTATTTGGTATTGGAGGTGTATTCAAAGTTGAACATTTTGAATATAATCAAGAAATAAAAGCATGGAATATTCAATTAGCAGCAACAGATAGCCTAGCTACGACTGTAAAAGACTATTTATACTATACACGACAAGAAATGGAAGATTATAGTTCAACAATTATATTTGGACGTCTATTACTAAATGAACTTAATGAATTTAATAAGGGTAAAAATTTTTTCAGTTTATTAAAGAGAACATTACCAGATATTCACGAGGATATTCCAGCTGTTTGGAATAATATAGCAATTATCGAAGAAAGAAATGAAAATTTTGATTTAGCTTTACAACATTATAAACAAACTTATGATTTAAGACGAAATCGTTTACTACCCAATCATCCACTTATCGCTCATTCATTGCATAATATCGGTATTATTTATTATAAAATACATGAATATGAACAAGCTTTAGTTTCTTATATGAAAGCTCTTGAGATTTACCGGTTAAATTATCCCAATGATCATGTTGATAAAGCACAGTTATTAGATGCTATTGGTTTACTTTATGGAGTAATGGATGAATATGATCTAGCAATTGATTATTTGATAAAAGCACAAGATATGTTTGAAAAAACAGAACATTATCAACAACAAACATCAAGTTTAGCAAAAATTGGTATAATCTATGAAGAGAATAAAGATTATGATCGTGCACTCAATTATTATCGTCAACAATATGAATTGAATGAAAAATATATACCAACTAATAATCAAGAATTGATAACAAATTTTAACTGGATAATTGATGTATATAAGAAAAACGATGATTATGATAGTGCTTTGGACTATTGTCGAGAAAATTTAACTAATATTCCAGAAGGTAATCATTTACGGTCTGGTCATATACTTAAGGCAATAGCCCATCTATTATTGATTAAAGACGAGCGTGAACAAGCATGGCAATATTATCAAAAAGCTTTAGTTAGTTTTGAAAAATGTCATCCATCTGAGAATTTAGCTATGATTGATTGTTTGAAAATGTTAAGTGCATTTTATGCTGATGAATGTCAATTCGATCAAGCTTTAGCTAAGAGAAAAAAATTGTTAAATTTACAAAAACAAATATATCCATTGTCGTTAGATTTAGCTTTTTCTTATAGATTTATAGGAGAAATTTATTTTGAAATGAAAATGTATACTGATGCACTCTATTATTTCACAAAAGCATTAAAGCTTTACGAAACATTTGACGAACAGCAAGATACTATTGGTGAAATTCAAATTAATATTGCTTACCTTACTAGACAACAAACAAGTCAAGGTAGTTTTGAAGATCTATCGTCTACAGAATTGATTATTGCTCAATCATCGGATGAAGGAATCAGTGGTCATCATCTTAAAAATTTAACAAAATCAAAACATAAACAATTTTTTAAAAAATTTTTTTATAAATAAAATCTTATTTTATTTTATCGTTCAACAATTTTAAATAAAGTGTGAATACTTAAATCGAGCAGGATAAAAGGCATTACACACGCACACACACACACACACACACACATTTATCTAACTCTATACAGTCATTAGCGACGTTAACATCAGAAAATATTGTTTGACAAGTAAACGATAACTGATTCTGACTGTAACTGAACAGCAACTTGTAACACAAGGTTTCTGAAGATACAAAGAAGCGCAAAAAAATGTTGAGAATATAGCACTCCTTCCATAAAACGAAGTCATCCCTTGGGATATCGGAGTTTCATTAAAATGAAGTTCATTAAAATTTTAATGAAATTCTTGTGCCGTCAGAAGCTCTAGATCACAGCTATTTTGCACGAGACATTTTAATGAAAGTTAATGGATTATATGTCTGAAAGTTCCGGTACTTTCATTAAAAAAAACCGCTTTAATGAAAGTCACTCAATCCCATCCCTTATTAGAAGACTACTGTCGGTTATGCAACATGCAAGCCAAATAGAGTCAGTTCGGGGAAATCGGATCAATTTTGGAAAATTCCGTATTGTTTTGGTAATAAATCGGTCATTTTTTATCCTAAAAAAATTTTTTTCACAGGTAGAAAATTTGAACCTTTTTCTATCTACTAATGTAAAAATTATTTTAAAATTCATTTTAATTACTCATCTGTAATTAAAATGAAATGAATCCCATCGCGCTGGTCCGATTTACCCCAATTGGGGGAATTTGGATCAGTCAAGAAACGCACGATGGGTTAAATCGGATCACTCCAGTCACTGGAGTCCATTCGGATCACTCCAGTCTCATCATTGTTTTAACCTTTCCCAACTTTCTACTCAATTAGCCTTTGATCCTAATTAACTAAAAATTGCATCAATCGATAGCCAAACATTTCTCTACGTGACCTATAAGTTATCAATTAGTTACCAAAGCTATAAGAACAAAAAATGTTGACATATTATATTTATTACGTTTTTATTTAGTTGATTTAGAAGCACAACTTTTACAAGAACACAAACACAAAAATGCAAGAACCATATTAAAATGTTTTTATGGTAGTTTGTTAAATGCACAAGAATTAATAAATATAAAAAATGCTGTTGGTCAATTGATATCTATAAATGAGTTTTTTTTTGCAACAAAAACCATAAACGGTGCATTAGACTCTATTCCAAATAATAAAAATCATTTAGAAAAATATGTATTAGAAATTAAATTATATCCTCGTTTAAAAACAGTTATTTTTGCATTTACTGACGATGAAATATTATTTGGTATTGGAGGTGTATTCAAAGTTGAACATTTTGAATATAATCAAGAAATAAAAGCATGGAATATTCAATTAGCAGCAACAGATAGCCTAGCTACGACTGTAAAAGACTATTTATACTATACACGACAAGAAATGGAAGATTATAGTTCAACAATTATATTTGGACGTCTATTACTAAATGAACTTAATGAATTTAATAAGGGTAAAAATTTTTTCAGTTTATTAAAGAGAACATTACCAGATATTCACGAGGATATTCCAGCTGTTTGGAATAATATAGCAATTATCGAAGAAAGAAATGAAAATTTTGATTTAGCTTTACAACATTATAAACAAACTTATGATTTAAGACGAAATCGTTTACTACCCAATCATCCACTTATCGCTCATTCATTGCATAATATCGGTATTATTTATTATAAAATACATGAATATGAACAAGCTTTAGTTTCTTATATGAAAGCTCTTGAGATTTACCGGTTAAATTATCCCAATGATCATGTTGATAAGAAATAATTCAGGTATGACGTCTGCTATAATGAGCTACACTTGAAACATCCGGTTAAAGTATACTCATACTAATTCAATGGGTATCAAGAGAGTTAAAAGTGATTGATGCTGCTCTCTTTCATATTTTTTCAATACGAAGGACTCGAATAGAAGGATTCTACCTAAGGGATGTTACAAACTGGAAAAAGATGTTGACATATTATATTTATTACGTTTTTATTTGGTTGATTTAGAAACACAACTTTTACAAGAACACAAACACAAAAACACAAGAACCATATTAAAATGTTTTAATTGTGATATTAAAAACCTCATGGGCAGTCTTCAACACGAATTAAGCGATGTCAATGAGAAGCCTAAAATAGTTAGAAAGGAACTACTGAACGCTGATAGTTAAAACATATTTTGTCTGAGGTAATATTTGAGGCCAAATAGGTCGTTTTTAACGACCTATTTGTCGTTTCACTACATATTGTTATCCTAATAAAAAGAACGACGACTCACTTATTTTATTTGATATAATGGGAAAACAATACATTGGATTCATAAAACGTTTACACAACAAGCTAATGATCAAATATTTATTCGGGTACCAAAAGTAACAGCAACTTCAGTATGAAAATTATCGATGAACGGAAAAATAGTATACAACTTAAAACGTTTTATAAGGAAACTTTCGGAGAAGAAGCTGTGTTATTCATGCGATGTAACGAAGCACAACTATACGTTTTTTCGGTTTTCGTCTTTGTCTGAATCAAATTAAAAGAACATCAATTTTGTTTATTGTTCTTGATTGTGAAACTGTGTATAGGTCGTCCTCAACAAATATTTGTTATGAAAAAGCTTTTTTAATTCCAAAGAGCATGATTTTTTAGCTTCGTTGTTTTGACATTTCTCTCAATCATCGAACTATACTTTTTATTAAAAATGAGAGATATTTATATGGAGACAAGCAAAGAGGATTATTTTTGATTAAAAATAAACTTGCGGCAAACAATCTTAGGGATAGATGCACGCTAATCAGAACTTTCCACTAATCGTATGCGGAAGACCTCATACACAACACCCTTTTATCACAATACTTCTAATAAAACGAAGCGCCACTCATCGGGATACAGAAGAATATTACGATAAATACTGTCTTTATTGCCTTACATAAATTTATCTATCTTTATTGAGATAAAATATATTTGCAATGTTCTTCAGATAATAAGTTTCATCGCGATGAATATTAACACTAGTGCAATGCTTTACTTTACGTCGATGAACATTAGAATTATCGCGGTAAGCTTCTTTATCGGAGCAGTATTTTATCTCGGTAGAGACCGATAAATTTATTTTGCCGTAATAGCTCTGATGTTTAGCGAGATATTTCCTTGACTAGGTAAAACTATCGCCTCTAATCGAGATATTTTATCGAAAAAAACCTCATGGACAGTCTTCAACACGAATTAAGCAATGTCGATGAGAAGCCTAAAATAGTTAGAAATGAACTACTGAACGCTGATAAAAATCAGTTAAAACATATTTTGTCTGAGGTAATATTTCAGGCCAAATAGGTCGTTTTAAACGATCTATTTGTCGTATTATATTGCCAATTGCAATTTTGTCGTATTGTATTGGAAATACATGTATTGCGAACAGACTATCATAGTCTGTTGGCAATTCCCTATTGCAGAAATACGCGTGTTTTTGTACCACAACAACGCTAAGATTACGATCAAAAATAAAACGGCCTGTGACAGCTAGTGAACAGTTAACTGAATATTTTCACGACAAAATCACTTCTGAGTCCGAGTATATTTGCACTTGTTGCAATCAGTTATTATATAAGAAAACTGTTGGTTCGTCATCGGTGAATTGATTGACAATGTTGATCCAATTTTGGAAGCAGATTGTATTACAGGTGTTCTGTCGTTCGACCGGTTCCAATATATATGTTCGACATGCCGTGTTTATATTTTTGTGGAATGAAATGTGTCACCGGTGGTTAAAGCGAACAGTTTATCCTTTCCACCTGTTTCGGACGAACTGAAGTTAACACCAGTAGAGAAATGGCTGGTGGAGATTTGTAAAGTGGCTGTTTACTTTTATCACATTAAATTTTAAAATCGAGATAGTTCGCATACGATATTATGGATACCAGATGCACCGAATATCTTAAGTGATTCGCACGTTTCCACTAGGTATCAGTTATAGGCTACTGTTATTAAAAATATAAATCACCGGGCGACGAGATCCTCGATTGTATTGCTCGTCACTGCTGCAATATTGTCGATAAATAATATCGTGAAATATCACGTGCACACCCATATTAACATTTATATTGCGGTGTTAATAAACATGACTATGTCCATATACATTCACTTCAACGCCGGTAAAACAGACGACGATTCTTAGACTGATAAAAAATGGAGCCGATGATACGGACTGAACTTGAAAAAACACCGCGAAGTGATCCTCTACTTTTTCGTTCCAGAAAGATTCAAGCCTTGCAACCTTGGGCTAGTCAAATCCAAGTGAAAAAGAAAATAGAGTTTCTCTGCAGCGGTTGAATATTTTTCAAAAAGCATACGTGATTTTTTTCTCACAAGTATACGGGTTAAAATGAAATAGTAAAGAACACTCAGTTTTTCAGTAAAAAAACCTGGATGGATTTCCAAGCTCGACAGTGATCAGTTCATGGTTCTGCGTGTACTTAGCGGATCCTTGGGCAGTTTAGCCTTTATTCGCTCTAATTTAGGGTTTTATACCCAGTTTTGCGAGCAAATTTCAACACCTTTTAACAGTTTTAGAAAACGATGGGTTCTGAAAATCCACGATGTACATTTTCGAAGTAACTCTAAAAAGTTTACACCACGATTGAAAATTGATCATGAGCCGAACAAAATGATGAACAGGGTAATTCGATCCCTTCTACAATTTTGCAAAATCAAAAACACGCCTGCTCAAAACTGAATTTTTAGATTCTCGCTCACAAATTCTAAATTGGAATCCAAAGACTATCAGACATAATTATCAGATTCGTGATCAGGAGCATCGACTACTCCTACTACGTATACTTTGAGCAAAACGCGTTTAGTTCGTCAGATTGCACTTAAACACAGACGGCTTTAAACGGTAAACAGACCATTAACGGCCAGTTAACTAGCCGTTAACAGTGCCGCTTTCTTGGACCTGGACAGTGAGTTCTGTTTTCTAAACTAAATATTCGTTCATATGAGAAAAATAAATTAGTAAAACACAATGTGTAG